TTTTCAGTGGCAGCACTTGGAAGTGGAACACAAAGTCTGATGCCAACTGAAAAAATTGATATGCAGCGGGTGCCCCCGCCGCTTTGCAGTTCCTTGAATTCTCAGCCCGGAGCTCTGCTCCTCTGGGAATCCCTGCGGCAGCGAAGATTCACTTCAAACCTAACGGCTTTGTTTGGAGATGGATTTTAGGGTTCAAGTGCCTCCTTTCTCAAAGGGCCTTCAAACAGGGATGAGCAGTGTTACATTATCCTCTGAGTGCAGGAACAAAGCTCTTGGGTCCACTTTCCCTCCTTTCTACAAAGATCTCCATCTCCTTTAATCCCCTTGAAGACCCCATGATACTGYCAGCCCTGCTCTCCCTGCTTACACCCTACTTGCTTCCCATACATTCTAAGAGGTACCCGCTGGTGGCCAGGGCCTGGGAGCCAACTCTCCAGCACACCTCAAACCAAGCAGGGAATTGCTGAGCTGCTTCTAGCTCCTTTTTCTACACAGAGACACGATTCCGCGTCTTTTAACTTCGCCTAGGAACCGGATTTCATAAAACCTGCAGGACCTCAGTGTGCAGATTCCAAAGCTGGCAGGCAAGGAGATAGGCAATATGACTACATATGTTTTCTTTCCCTGGGAAAGGGGGTTAAAAGGGAAATGCAACAGTAATCTTAGCTCTAAGAGCTAAACTTGAAACACAAACCCCAAGGGAGGGAGGGGGGAGGTCTCCATCTCTTGTTCTGGCTTGTGATCACTAAGATGAGCTCTCTCATGCCATGTTTACAATCACTTTTATTTTATTAGGACATACAACTGGAATTACAAATCCCTGGGAGTATAATTAACTTACAGTGACGTCAGAGCTTTTTTTTTTTTTTTTTTTTTTTTTTTGGCTATTTTGCTGCATGGACAGTAGAGCCTTTCTCAGAGCAGGGCTTTCATGCCAGCAGTTTTGGTCAATGATTATCCCTTGCAAAAAGCCTCTGACATACTCCCTCCAGTCACCTGTTTACATCCCAAATGTTCTCAAGTTCTGCTATTTCAAGCTTAACTCTTGTGACCTTATTCAACGATACTCAGTCCAAGCCTCCTTACCATATCCTGCAAGACAAACAACCTCAGGTCAGTTTTAGTAACCAGTGCTATGTCATGCATATGGTCAACGACTCTAAATATGCCCACACCCACACGTTTCCTAAATTTGGATGTCTGTAGTAGCCAACAACAGGGCCTGGGTGCATAGTTCTGTTTCACAAAARCAAGATTTGGGGCATTTTTCCTCTCTAAGCTTTTCCCTTTACCTTCTGAGCATTGCCTCGAAGACCTGAGATTTATTAGCAGCGACCAGCTAAGTAGGATAAGCAAAGTGTTGTGATTTCTGCAGAACGTCTCCCAGAGCTCAAGGAGCCAGATAAAAGATCCATCGAGCAGTATAGACAGCTCCTTCCCACTGCAGCCAATTGCAAAAGCTTACAGACAGTATAGAAACAGGCCAAGTACACAGACATTCTTCTCCTAAATACTCTACCAGACCAGTAGTTTGTGGCTCGGGGATTTCCTGAGCTAGGGATGGTGCATTTGTGTTAAGCAGCCCAGGATGTGCTTTTCTTCCTTGAATTTGCAAAACTGATCRTTAGACCCCTGCAACTTTTTAGTGCCCACAATACCCTATGGAAACAAATTGCACAATTTGTCTGCATGTTGTCCCTTTYTTTTTGATGCTGCCACTTTTCAGGCCACTCTCCTTTGGTCCTTGTTCACCTTCTCCATGCCAAGTGTCATGGCTAGGCCCTATGACAGGGACTGTGTAGTACCCAGACCTTCACTTCCACACTCATTTGGCAGATGCTTTGTTGTTTTCCCAGAAAAGTTAGTGAATAGGTGACCTGTACCCCTTTCAAATAGGGAAGGATTGCTCGATATCACCTCAGTGTATACAGGTAACCACCAAAGGCAGCTTTGCAAGGGAGCTGCTTGCACTCTATGAGCATGACGGGATGCTTAAGAGACCAGTCCATTAACACACCACTAAGTAGGGCTCGCCTGCCCTCTCCAGTCTGGACCAAGGCTCCTAGGAGGTCTGTTGATATACCCTGCTTCCCCATTACATACAGTACACTCGCTAGGATTCTTTGCACCATGGGTGCAAAGGCAGTGGAAGGGCATCCATCACAGGTGCCGCAAAATTCAGAGTCAAACAAATGCATCTACTAACAGGAGRAGCTGAACGGACTTACCCTGCAGAAGTAGCTCTCTGATTCACAGCTCAGCTTGGGTGTCAGGAGAGGCTAGGAGTGGATGTATAAAACCCCAGCATTGTTTGGAGTGTTGTTGTCCACGGGATGCTTCAATAGCTGGCTCACAGAACTTCACAGCTGTCCTGCAAACGTCGGTGAGAGTGGGGTGGCCGTGCAAAGCAGCCAGTAAGTGGCTACTGGAGGGGAACAGACTCCACATCTCCCTCTGATGGGACTAAAGAGTCTTTCAGCAAATACCACCCAAGTGTGATTTGGGATCTTACACGGTGAAAACATGAAAATCTATCCCTTATGCTCCGCTCTGCTTCTGTGCTCATCTGCTGTCTTGTTAAAGAAAGGATGGCAAGCGAGTGGTTACAAGGTCTTCATACCCTGGAAGCTGCAGGGAATCACTTTGCACATAGTTTTTACCCCAAGAAAAGCCAAGTGTGTTGTATGCACACAGGGTGCCACACACTCCAGTTCACAGAAACATGTTTTTGTCCAGTGGGGAGGGAAACTGTAATATTCCCCAACAGATCTGCTCTTATAAGAYGCTATTTTGGGTGTTGATGCTGTCAGTGAAGTTATTGGACAAATGAAGAGCCTGGCATATGCTGTAGCTTGGGGCAATTCACATTCCTCAGGTGCTAAAAGCTGTAAATACTTCCTTTGGGCATTAAATAGATGTGCTTCCAAAGAAGCCAGCATTCCTGACAGTGCCTGTCCCACATACTCCTACAGGAGGTCTGCAGCGCTGAACTAGCGTGACCCCTGGAAATGTTTCCCACATCTCTCATCCTTGCTTCGCTTCTCCTTTCATTTTTGGAATTTGCTGAAAACTGGTTTGGCATTTGCTTATCTTTCTTTTCATGTGAGTTCTTGACCTTCCTTTCTTATATTAAAACCATATTAAAGCTGGGGTATGAACCATGCAAGTCAGGAAGCCAAAGATGTTCAGCTCTTTTGGAGATGTGCACTAGTCAACATTGSTTTTGATCTTCTTTGCTTTTAATTTTTCTTGATGTCTTTACTAGTAACATTGAAAAGAGACTGATTTCAGCCTGGAGCTAAAAGCACCTATGCAGTCAGCAAGCAGTATCTTTTCAGGGTATCCTGACTACTTGGGACTTCATCAGTTTTTGTTATCCAATTCACATCTTTAGGTTGGGTGCAAGCTTCCATTTTCTTTCTTTTTTACAGTAATACAGTAGCAATACTGCCATGCTTTACAACAATGATTCAAGGGTCTTTCAGTGCACCCTTTATATCCTTTTGGGTTCAAAAGGACATTAGCTCTTTCTCTGTGGTCAGAAAGGATGAATATTGCACAACAGACTGTGACATTTCATTTATTCCTGGAAAAAGAAAAAAAGAAGCCATCTGATCCTTATTGCTGTATTGCTGCCATGCCAAAAGACKCAAGTTCTTGAGGCAAGGACTGTGTCTAAGTGCTTCTTGCTGTGGCACAGGGAAGGACATAGGACCACAGTGTTCTGCTTTAGGTTCTGCTCTGCAGAGACTGGACAAGATCTCTTAACATCTTCACATCTGAAGTGAGTCACCTTCTGAAAGACGCAATTCACAAGTTATGTCCGTTTTAGAGCAGACATATGGAGGTCAAGTACACTGTCCTGTTCTGTACTGYGCAGTAACCTGTGCAGCACTGATAGCTTGAAAATCCTAACAAGGTAYTTCAGGAAAACTGCAAAGAATGGTGTTTTCGGGAGTGTCAAARCTTTTTATGTCTTTCTCGCATTGCAGGTCACCTTCAGGTCCCCATTTCGCCCCTTCCTAGCGCCATCTTCATCCCCATCCATCCCCGCAGCCGCTTGTGCCTGCAGGGCAGGGCTGTCGCTGCCGCTCACAGCACAGCAGGGGCTGCAGGTCCCCTCTCCTCACAACGTGCGACCCAGGCCGAGACCCAGTCCCGCAGCGCTCGTCTCCTCAGGGCGGCCTCCAGGCCATGCGCAGGCGGCCGGTGCTCTCCCACYTGTCCTTACTTGGAAATTCAGCCTCACACTCACAGGATATCAAGAGCAATCAACACGTTTTGGTGCAGGAGGCTCCTCCTGCCTCCCCGTACACGAGCTCTCCAGAGAAGCAGCCCTGGACACTCCACAGAGCCTGAGCGCCTCGCATCCCGAGGCCGCCTTCACCATGGGMGCCATCTTGGTGGAGGCCCCGGCCTCTGCCCGCGGCTGCGGCGCTGCCGCCGGACTTGGCTCGGGGCCGCTCGGCGGGAAGGTGCGGGCCCGGGCCCGGGGCCGCCGCGCGGCTCAGCCGCCCGCC